ATCTTCTATTGAATTCTACGGATATATTGAGTTTGGGGAAACCGCTTAAAATTGAAGAGGAAATTCAAAGTTTGGGTGCCTCGCCTATCCTTTTTCTGAAGTCTTTGTGGGGTCACACCTTGGATAGTGTTGGTCGTATTACTCCGGACCAGTTGTTGGAGTTGGCACGGTATATGCATCCACCTCAAATTATTCCCGTAGTGGTACAATCCACAATTATCGTTGCTTTGGGGAAAAAGCCAAGCAGCGTTGAACAGTGGTCGGACGCCAGGGAGAAAGTGAATAATAATCTTTTAAAAAAAATGCGTTCTTTTGATCCCACTGATAAAAAGAAAAGAAAAAAGGCCTTTTTCATCAGAGCAGAAAAACTGCTAAAGGGTTATGGAGCACGGGATGTTCTCGAGAAGGGTTCCTATCCAACAAGCTGTTTCTTTTCCTGGACGTTTGCAGCAATTCTCTTGCGGAAAAACGCGGATGTACTGCGTAGAAAATATGGGAAGGACGCAACTGTTACTTCAGTTGAGGAAGATGGCATGTTGTCAGCAGAGGATGACAATACCATCGAGGGTGAGGCTGACGATTATGTGGATAATGACGAAAATGAAAGTGAACCAGAGGAAGCCTAATGCTTTTGAAGGCAAGAACTAATAGAAAAACTGCGATGTTGACAAGGAAAAATTGATATATTTTTTTTTTTTGTCGATTTGATGCTTCATGTATAATACGGATGTAAATGTTGCGGAAGATCCTCCGTTTCCTGTTGCAATTTGCGTTGTATTTTGTATTTCACGACTATTTTGCTTATTTATATATATATATATATTACTTGGTGGTTTTTCTCTAGCTGTACCTATGTGCGCTTTTTTTTTTGCTTTTTTCTTTGCTATGTATTTATCGTTTCCTCCGTAGTTTTTTTTCTACGTGGTTTTGATAGCTACACATGCCACCCAAGAGACCGGTTCTTGAACATCTAAGGATAGATCCTCCTGAAAGAGCCGTATCGATCACAGACACATTGACTTTAGTTGTAAAGGGCGATGGGGGTCTTGAAATGCGTGTAAAGGAAAGTTGTATCGCTTCTGGTCCAACGCTCCCTGCTCAGGCTGCGGAAAAAAAAGTTGATGAAAGGGATGCGGCCGCGGAAAAAATAAGGTTTGAAGATCTGCGTAACTGCCGGGAGTTGGGAAAAGGCTCTCAGGGGAGGGTTAGGCTTGTTGTGCACCTTCCTACAAGAAAAAACTACGCAGTAAAATATATTAGGTTGGAAGAGGACACGGATGGCATGCGTCAAGCTCTTGAGTCGGAACTAAGGCAGGTCAAATCTTTGATGCACAAGAACCTTGTAACTTCGCATGAAGCATTCTTTAGGGATGGAAGAGTTTATATTGTGCTAGAATATATGGATGCGGGGAGTATTGCTGATGTGCTCAGGCGTCATTCTAATAATTTCAAGGAAGAGATGTTGGCATACGTGGCGCGGGAACTTCTTCAGGGCTTGGAGCACCTTCATGCCTCAAAAGTAATTCACCGTGACATAAAGCCTGTAAATGTCCTTGCAAATTCGAAAGGTGAAGTTAAGATTGCGGATTTTGGCGTTGCAAAAAGATTTTATGGTGGGGATGTAGAGACTTTGTCCGCGCAAGGTTCGATTATATATATGAGTCCTGAGCGCATTCAAGGTCAACCCTATTCCTTCAATAGCGATATATGGAGTGTGGGGATGACGATAGCAGAATGTGCGCTGGGAGCATATCCTTTTATGTCACTGAAACACAACCTATATGATCTTATGCAAGCCATTGCCACGAGAAGTGCGAGGATTGACTGGACTACTGATGGTCGTGAGCACACTCCAGAGCTTATTGATTTTGTCCATCAATGTCTCCGTCTTGCTAACGCACGACCCACAGCCACCGAGTTACTCCATCATCCGTTTATTCAAAAGGCAGCGAATGTAGACCCTGTTGAAGCTGGAAGGTGGTTTGTTGCTCATTCTTAACTTTACTACTTGGCGGAGGGAGAGCGAGAGGGGGAATGTGTGTAGGGCCTCTCCCTGTCTTTTCCATTATTTTGTCTTATTGGTATTGGTGTCGTTGCATGCCATTTTCGAATGAAATATTTTGTGATTTGGCGCGAAAAAAGAAAGAAGAATAAAGTTGTTGTTGATGGTTGGTTGGTTTGTTTATTTATTTCTCCCGTTTTCTTTTTTGCTTTCCCACTCTTGTTGCTACTATAATAATAATAATATATATATATATATTTTTTCTCTAGCCCCCCTTGCTCGCGCCGTATCCCTCCACCTCCTTCTTTGCGTATTTGCGTGTACACTGAAGTGAGATGCCCCCAAAGGATAACAAAAAAAATTCAAGGTCCGACAAGGAGCTTCAGGATGATGAGCAACAGCTAAGTGACGATATTGTAAGAATGAGCATACGCCTCTCTGCCCTAAAGACGCAATATGCGGGGTGTCTTGAGGAGATATCGGTTTTGAAGCGGGAACAGAAGGAGTTGCAGTCTTCTTGTGCCAGTTGCGAAGACGACCTTCGTCTTGCTACGTCGAATAGAGTAGACGTGTTGACCGATTTTGCGCGTCAATACAAAACTGAGGAGGATGAAAAAATACGCGCTTGTACAAAGTTGGATGAGACTTTAAACCGTCTTGAGGAGGAAAAACTGAAGCTGACTGAGGAAGTCAAAAAGACGGAAACCGAATATGACGATTCTATCAATGCGCTGAAGACCGAGCATGATTCTTTATTGGCTCGTATAGAGGAGATGGAAAGGGAGTTTGGCGCTCTCATGGATGATACACGTTCCAGAGTGCCCATTGGCTGGACAGCAGCACCCATTCAATTCTCAGGATTCTAGCAATGTACACTTTTTTTCTTTCTTGCCTTGATTATCCTAGTTGGCGTTGCTGAATCTGCATTGCCTATAGTGTCTTTTTGCGAAACGACCTCTGTGGTTTGCCGCGATGCTTGACTGACATTGTGAATGTGCGAAAGTGGTTACGGCGTTTTACATTTGTTTTTTTTTTTCTTGCTTTGCTGTATTAGTATTATTACTATTTCTTCTCTTTCTCTTCTCATGTGCAAAAAAATATATACATCTATCCTTAGGCATGCATACTGGCCTTGAAGAATATGAACGCACGATTCAGCTGCCCGTCGACGTTGCTGGCCGCGGAGTCTCATTTTTTGAGGCGGAAGGTCTTGGGACGGGCGGTCTTCGCCGCGTTGAGGAAATGAAAAGGGAGTGCGCAGGATGCAATTCCCCCCCATGTTGCGGAAGAAATGCGGAGCTTTCCCCTGCTACTACTCCAATTATAAATCGTCAGAACAAAGGCCAAAACGTGGCGGATTGGGACAAACTTTTTCAGCTTGAAAGCGAGTTGCAATGTATTGGTGAGGAAGCGGGGGCTTTTCTTCCTGGGTTAGGTCGCTCTTCGGTGTTGGAGACTTCTGTCGGCTCCGTGGAGGATACTCTCGAACTGGGAGAGGCTCTGCAGATGCTGGAGTGTAGGCTGAATAGTATTGCGGCGGAGTGCTGTGGTGTGGGTAAGGAGAGGCCGTTCCTTAGCAGGGAGGCGGTTCAAAAAGCAACTGAGTGCAGCAGCGCCTTGACGGCTTACCGTGGGATAGCCGCTGCTGCGGAATCGATGACGAAATTTGTCACCGGCATCTTCAACTGCAAGGCTTTTTTGCCCTCTAAAACATGTGCGCTGAAGCGGGCCGAGGAGGTTTCAATGCTATTGGATGACATGGAAAAACTTATGGACTCGCTGGAGACGGGGGTAGACACACTGCGGGAGGTGTCAGAGGCGAAATTAGACGCTTTGAAGCGTGGTTTGGATCTTCTTTCAGAATGATTCTTTGCTTGTGTGTCAGTTTCTTTGCTTGATTGCTTGCTTTTTATTGGTTCCTCGGTACCGCCTCACCTGTTTATTCTTATTACTCTTCATTTTCCATCTTGTCGTTACACGTTTGTTTTTGTTTCTTTTTTCTGGTGTACGTTCTTTTTTTTTTTTTCTTAGTGCGTGTGTGTGTACGCGCGCGCTTGAGAAGGGCGTGCCAGTTTGACGGAGCCTCCAAATGTTGGAGGAAGACAGAGAGGCAATCCGTAGGATGAAGGCCGACTTTGAGGCGATCGCGGAGTTAACGGAAAGTGAGTTCAAGTCAAGCACCGGGTTTGCGCGGCGCATGAATCACTACAGCACGGTTTACACGGCCGCAACACGCACCACGAACGTACGATCTTTTTCGGATGCCTTTGGGTATTATGTGGATGAGTTGCTCTACACCGACTTTGAGGAGATGCTGACCCGCTACCTGCTGAAGTACCACGACCTGCAGGCTCCCTCGCAGGTGCTCCTCTTTGGAAAGGTCTTGAAGCTGTGGGAACATTATAAGGTGCTGATGAAGTGGAACATGCGGGCCTTTGCGTACCTTTCAAGGTTTTACATCGTCAACTGCGGAAAACCGTCGCTGCAGCAGGTGGCGCTAAACATCTTTCTAGAACAAGTAGTAAGAAAGAATGTAAACGTAATTAGTCGAGTCACACAAGACCTGCTTTGCTCGGAACGGAACGGTGAAACGGTGAATCGTGACCAAATCCGAGGTGCCATTGAGTTGCTCTCCTCGGTCAGCGCTGAGAAGAAGGAGGAGGTATTTTTGGAGCCGTTTTTGAAGCCGTACGTGGCCCGGACAAGGGCGCACTACGAGGGCCTCGTCGCGGAATGGAGCCAGTCGAGCGTCCCCGCCGAGTTGCTGCGGCAAATTGAACAGGCGCACAACGAAGAGAAGGCCCGCTGCATGCGTTACTTTTTCCCCGACGACGGACAAAAAATCATGACACACGTCGAGGAAGTGCTGCTGGAGTCTCCTATGACGGTGGAAAGGCTTCTTAAGTCGGACGACGGCTTCATCGCCGCGCTAAGAAGCCGCGACGAGAATCTCCTGAGGGCGTACTACAACCTACTCTCCTGCCGCACCAAGAGTTTGGTGTTCCTGTCCAACCTCACGCGCGATGAAATTGTTGCCGAGGGCAAGGAACGGTTACTGCAGCACGATTCGCAGCAGAAGATGGAGGTTCGGTCGTGTGTGGCGGATATGCTTCAATTGCAGGACGATTTTATGCAGCTACTTGCCCGTTGCTTTCAGGGTAACGCCGTCATGCTGAAGTCCGTGCGGGGGGGTCTTGAGGGGGCTTTCAGCGGCGGTGTTCATGCGTCTCGGGGGCCGCAGCGGTCTGTGCCTTTTAGTGAACTGCTGGCGTGCTACGTCGACGCCGTCCTCCAGGGAAATGAGGGCGCTGCCGTTGAAGAGGAATTAGAACGGGCCGTCGCGGCCCTTGCGTACGTGAGTGACCGAGACACTTTTTTGGCGCACTCGCGCGAGCTATTGGCGCAGCGGATTCTTTTTCCGCGCAGAAAGATCGACGAGGTCACAGAGCGTTCTCTTATTCAGCGCATCAGCCAGCGCTGCGGTGTGTCCAGCACGAGTTGCCTGGAGGGAATGCTGCACGACGTGGATATCGCCGAAGGGTTTGGGACCGCAGAAAAGCTTGAGGCCGCTGGTGCGGCCCCTAGTTTTAATTTTAGCGTGCTGGTTGTGAAAAAGGGCATTTGGCCGCCACGGATTCAGAGTGAGTCGTTTATACCTCCTCGCATGCTCCAGGAGACGCTGCGTGCGTTTCAGCGGATTTATCTCGAGGGCACGACCGGGCGCGTGCTCACCTGGTCGCACTCCAACAGCAACGGCGATGTCCGTGCGGTGTTCAAGCGGGGCGTTAAGATCCTCTCCATGACCGGACTTCAGTGCTGGGTGGTTTTGGCGTTCAATGACGCGACGGAGTTGACCCTCAGTGCCCTGATGAACCTCTTCGGGATGTCCCTGGAGGACGCCAAGCCCGTGCTGCTCCCGCTGCTGAAGTGCTCAATACTCCGCGGCGCATCCGACGCCGCCGCAATGCAACCGCTGGAAAAGTTTTATATCAACGAAAATTTCTCAAGCAGGTGGAAAAAAGTCCGAGTGCCCATGACGCCCTTTCGTCGCGATGGCCTGTTCCACAGTGAGGCGATCGCGAAGGAGGTGGAGGAAGACAGGCGACCCGCCATCGATGCCTGCCTGGTCCGCATCATGAAGAGCCGTCGCGTCTTGAGTCATTCAAGCCTCTTGGAGGAATGCCAGCAAAAACTCTCACACCTTTTTTCGGCCGACCCAAAGTTGATCAAGCAGCGTGTCGAAGAGCTCATGCGAAAAGACTACATTGAGCGTGACCAGAAAAACCCTGCGGTATACCAATACAAGGCATAGTTATGTATCCATGGTATGTCTCACATACAGCGGAGCAGAGGAGGAGGAGGAGGAGGAGGAATGAGAAAAACAAAAACTAACAGCAGCCGGGGAAATACATGCACGCGCGCTCTCCCTCCCTCACTGTGTGTGAGTGTGTCTGTCTTTCTTTCCCGCTCCCACCCTATCTATGCATTCATATATGCTGCAATTCCTTTAAAACACTTCTGCGTCGTCCATTATTATTACTATTTTGATGGGTTTGCTTGTTGTTGTTGTTTTTTTTTTCATCCTTTTCTTGATGGGACTTTTGCGTTGCGGATGCACTCACACTTAACAACTTGGACCCAGTTGCGCACGCGCACTAGCACGCAAATATATATATATATACACACGTGTAGGTGCATGCGTCCCAACGCACACAAGTACGCGGCCTGCTCTTGTTGTTTGTGCAGTTAGGATGAGACTTTTTATAGAGGATGTGTTGGTGTTGTTTCCGTACGAGTACATTTACCCGGAACAACTCGAGTACATGACAGAGCTCAAGAAGGGCTTAGATCACGGTGGGCACATGGTTCTTGAAATGCCATCGGGAACAGGCAAAACCACGACCCTGCTGTCACTACTCATAGCGTATCTCCATCACCACGCGGAGGAGAAGCGCAAGGTCATTTATTGCACCCGAACAGTTGAAGAAATGACAAAGACCGTCGGTGAACTTCGCAAGTTGCTTGAACTCTGGAACGCGGAGGCGGGAGCTAGCAGGCCCCTGCGAGGACTTTGCTTAACGGCAAAGAAAAATCTCTGTATTGAGAGCAGCGTTGCATCCCAGCGGTACCCCGATGATGTGGACGCGGGATGTCGTAGTCTTACAGCACCGTGGCAGACAAGCAACCGCTGCGCCTACTTTGACAACCTGGAACGCGTTCCCTTTGAGTTGCCCCCCGGGGCCTACTCGGTAGAGGACTTGAAGCGGTTCGGCGAGGCGCACCAATTGTGTCCCTACTACTTGGTGCGAAAGGCGTTGCGCGTTGCCGACATTGTGGTTCACTCATTTCTCTACATTGTGGATCCCATCGTGGCCGAGGTGACCAAGGAGTACTTCAGCGAGAACACAATCGTCGTCATGGATGAGGGGCACAACGTGGACGACGTGTGCATTGAGGCCATGTCTCTCATCATCACAAAGGAGGACGCAACGCAAGCGAAGGAGAATGTAAAACAGCTGAATTCCGCCGCGGACCACCTCAGAGCGACGAATCGACAGCAACTGCAGGACGAGTATGACCGTCTTGTGAATGGTTTAGCGATGGCTGAAATGGCCCGCTCAGTGGATGGTGTGAGGGCGCCTGTACACGCCCCGCGTATTCCGTCAGACATTGCCAACGAAGCCATTCCAGGGAGTTTGCGGCAGGCAAACCACTTCTTGGCGTTTATTCAGCGTCTCGTTGACTTCACCCACCGCGTCGTTTGTAGAATATCTCGCACCTACGTGGCGGATCCTCTAACGTTCCTGTCCAAAGTGCGAGATGAATGTGCTGTGGATATTCGTCACTTCAGGTACCTGACGGAGCGGCTGAAGGTTTTAATGAATACCCTTCAGATAACAAATTCGCATAAGTTTCGTAACGTGGCTTTGATTGCGCAAATGTACATGACTCTCTCCACCCACTACACCGATGACCGGTATGAAAAGCCGGGATTTGTGGTTGTGTGTGAGGCGCATGATCCGACGAGGCCCGCGGTGCCAGATCCAGTGATTCGCCTTGTCTGCGTAGATGCCTCCTTGGCCTTGCGTGAGGCCTTTGCAAAGTACCGAAGTGTGGTGTTGACGTCAGGGACACTTTCACCGTTAGACATTTACCCCAAGATCCTTGGCTTTACCCCGGCGATTGCCAAGTCCTTCCAAATGACTCTCAGTCGAAAGTGCATCGCGCCCGTGGTGGTGACGCGGAGCACGGAGAGTGTCAACATTACAACGGAGGAAATCACCAGTAGCTTTGTTGTTCGTACAAATCCTGCCGCCCAAGACGTAGTTTCCGCCGCTTACGAGGACCTTTTACGAGGTCTTGGCAAGACAGTGCCCGATGGCGTTGTCTGCTTCTTTACGGGGTATCAGTATATGGGGGAGGTGCTGCTTGGGTGGCACCGGTCTGGATTTTTGAAGGAGCTGGCGCAGTACAAACTCATCTTTGTTGAGACCCAATCTGTGGAGGAGACCTCCGTGGCGTTGGCGAACTATAGGCGGGCGTGCGACATTGGGCGTGGGGCTATTTTTATGGCCATTGCGCGGGGCAAAATTGCGGAGGGAATCGACTTCGACCGTCACTATGGCAGGGCCGTCGTGATGTTCGGGGTTCCCTTTTTGCCACCGAACGATGAGCCCTTGAGACAGCGGATTCACTGGATGGAAACGTGTCTAGGTATTCCTGGAAACGAGTATCGCAACTTTGATGCCATGCGGCAGGCCTCTCAATGCATCGGCCGGGTGCTGCGAAACAAGACCGACTACGGAATGATGTTGCTCGTTGACCGACGCTTCGCACTGAACGACAAACGGAAAAAGTTGCCTATATGGATTCAGCAGTGCCTGAAGGAGAACACAAATCTCAGTGTGGACGCAGCAATCGCCGTTGCACGCGGGTTCTTCAAGGAAATGGCGCAGCCCTGGGAATACCAACGCGACCTGGGGACCACCCTCTTCTCTAAGGAAACCCTCGCACTTAAGGGGTTTCTAAAACCCTCAAAGAGATCCGTCCTTCGCAGGGCCACAGAGACATGCAGCAGTGGGACTGTAGAGGAAGGTGTACATGAAGAAGGGGATGCCATTCGCGCAGTAAAGGAGCCAGAGCATAGAAAGCGGCCTCGGAGTTAATTCTTGTATCGCGCCCTTGTTATTATTAATGTTGTTGTATTCCATAAGAAAACAAAACAATAAAAGAAAAAGAAGAGTGAAACAGTTAACGAAGAGACAAACAACGGAACAAATGTTGCTACATGGAATGCTTTCTTCTTCTTTTGTGTCTATTAATGGGTAAGCTTGTTGTTGTTGTTGAAATGGAGGCGCTTCAAGAAGGGCTGTTTTCATGGACTGCTGTGTACTTGGCCGTGATGTTCCCTGCGCTTGTTATGGTTTTTAACTTTGTTTTTGGGAACTGTTTCCTGGGCGAGGCTTTGGCCCATAACCAACACGCCACCACCGGCAAAGGATACTATCGGAGTCTCGGGAGACTCTGCGTGGTGGTTGTTTTGGGATTGTTCATTTGGCAATACTACATCTACATGTTTCAGACCCGGAAGGGACGCGTGGATCGTTGTAACCCTCCTGTCTATATCTGGCACCTCGTTGATGGGGTGTTTTGGGGCAAAGAGGGCGCCTCCTATGCACTGCGTTGGAACTGCCCGTTGGATGAGGTCTGCTTCCTCGCTTTGTGGTCGCTTCACCTTGCTCTGTACGCCGCCTGTGTGATGAGTGTTCCGCAACTGGGGGCAAAGTCTGACGGCGGCTCATTTTGCCGCAAGTGTAACGCGTATGTGGAAGACATGGATCATCACTGCTTCCTTATTGGCAACTGCGTTGGATCGAAGAACAGAAAGTTTTTCCTGTGCCTCCTAACTCTCTGTGTCGTGAATATGTTTTTTTTGCTGCTTACGCGAGGTGCTTGGGCGTACGCAGAGGGCGGGGTTTTTATACTACTAGGATTGCTTTTGGTGATCGGCGCTGCGGTGGTGGGCTCATGTTTGCTTATCCTTCAGTGTTGTCTTTTGCGGAAGAACAAAACGACGCTCTCTTTCCTCAAGGAGGAGCGGCGCTCGCGGCGCGGCATCTTGAGAGCACTTGCTGAGTTGATGAGGTAGCCGTGCCGGTTATTGTTTTTTTTTTCTTCCTTTTCGTTTCCGCTCTGTGTCGTGGGCGCAAGAAGGGACCACACATATGTCTCTTTGCGAGCTATCTATCTCCCCTTTTCTCGCTCTCGCCCTCTCTGTCTGTCTGCCATTGTGAGTGTGAGTGCGCGTTGGTCGTATTGCTTCACTGCTGGTGGCGTTGTTGGTAAACTGGTGGGAGAAAGCCCACGGTTTACGACGTGGGTTCAACTTGCTGCTGATTCTTTCCGAGTTTTTTTTTGTTGTTGTCGTTGCTGCTGCTGCTGCTGCCTCCATTGGTGCTGGCATTGCCGCTGCAGGAACAAAGGAGCAATGCCGGTGCGGAAGAAGCAGCGTCGGGAATTTATCGTCACAGGCCCAGCGGCCGCAGATGAGGCGGCGGGGCAGGACGAGAATGTTATGGTGCGCCTCGTGGACGAAAACGGTGAGCTGACCGGCACGCAGCTGCTTCTCCCTGTAACCGCAACACCGAGGCAGCTGGATGAGCTCCTGTGCTCCATGTTGGACGAGGAGGCGCGCGGGACGCCGTACGCCTTCTTTATCGAAGGAGAGCAGGTGCATGACAGTGTGCGCCAGACGCTATTCAAGAGGCAGCAGGAAGTCTTTGCTGATAAAATGATGAAGGAGGGACGCCGCTTCAGGCAGCAGGACGTAGACAAGCTAGAATTTGAAGTTCCAGAGGAGACAATTGTGGAGATCCAATTTAAACCGCAGGCAAAGTTTAAGGTGAGGCCCGTGACACGTTGCGCAGGAACACTTGACGGGCACAGCGAGGCGGTGCTGGTGGTCAGTTTTTCCCCCGACGGTGAAGTGCTAGCAAGTGGTGGAGGCGACAAGGAGATACGACTCTGGGACGTCCACACGCTAACCCCCACGCAGGAGCTTAAGGCGCACACCAGTTGGGTGCAGGTGTTGTCGTGGGCCCCAGATGGGAAGCACCTCGTGAGCGGAAGCAAGGATGGCACGCTTATTGTTTGGTCTCACGATGGTGCGTATGAAAATTTTAAGGGAAAGCGCCACAAGGCGCACTCAAGTTACTTGTCGCACGTTTCATGGGAGCCGCTGCACCGAAACATCGATTGCAATCGGTTTGTTTCAGCCAGTAAAGACGCAACCCTCAAGGTTTGGCATACTGTAACCGGGCTTCAATTTTCTCTCTCGGGGCATCAGGCCTGCGTCACCTGCGTGAAGTGGGGCGGTGAAAATTTCATCTACTCATCCTCGCAGGACCGTACCGTCATTGTGTGGGATGCCTCAAATGGAACCCCGCGTAGTGTGCTTCGCGGGCATGCCCACTGGGTAAACTTCCTCGCACTCAGTACAGACCTCGTGATTCGGACGGGCGCCTTTGATCATGAGGAGAAGAAGTTTGACATCCCTGCGAATATGCAGAAGTACGCGGAGCAGCGGTATCAAGAGGTGGTGGGACGGTTTGGGGGCCATGAGCGTCTCATTAGCTGCTCCGACGACAACACCATGTTCCTGTGGTGCCCGCAGGAGCAGACAACGCCACTGGCACGGTTGACGGGTCACCAAGGGGTCGTGTTTCACATACAGTTTAGCCCGGATGGAACCATGATTGCCTCCTGCTCCGCGGATAAGAGCGTCAAGCTGTGGAACGCCGCCGATGGCAAGTTCATTACGACGTTTCGAGGCCACGTGGCCCCTGTGTATCACGTGAGCTGGAGCCTGGACTCCCGCCTTCTGGTCTCTGGTAGCCGCGACTCCACCCTGAAGCTGTGGTCAGTCGAAAAACGTGAATTGGTAGAAGATCTTTCCGGCCACAGCGACGAAATTTTTTCAACCGATTGGAGTCCCGATGGCCAGCGAGTAGCAACGGGCTCAAAGGACAAAAAAGTTCTCATTTGGGTTCATTAGTACGAGTAAGCCACAGTAAATGCATGCACAGGTTTGCATACACATCTCTGCGCACGCAATGTATTGCAGGTGTAAGTGCCACCGAAAGTAATTCTTAAGCTAAAAGCATATAAAAAAAAGACGAGCGGCTCGTGGAAGGCACCACAGTTCCATTGCGGTAATACTTTTCATTCGGTCGTTTCTACTTTTTTACTGTTGGACATATTTGTTTTCTCACACTCCAGACACTTATTTGTGTCTTTTATTTTGTGAAACATGTGGTGACGAACATACGCCGAGATGCGGCTAAAAAAAAGAGAGCAGGGTAGTTCTCCCTTTGCCCTGGTTTTAGTATGTACCACTTGTTTCTGGCTTTCCAATGCGGCCTCGCCGGAGGGCGGCGCGGGTGCAGTTGCGTGGGCGCTGCCACCGCATTGCGCCGCCCCGCTACCGACACCCGCCACGTGGAGGTGGTCCTGCGGTTGCGGGCCCCGACGACTGCCGCTTGTCGCGTCCACGGCGAGGCCGGTTACTTCTGTGACGCCTTTATTTACCAACTGCTTTTCGTTTGCGGGCCGTAAACGGCTCTCGTTTGGGCTGGCAGGTTGGGCGTAGCGGGGCGAACTGCTTCTCCTCTTCTGTTTTCCGTTCTCGGTGTGGGAGGGAAGGGTGGCGCCTCATCCAGGCGTTGATATTCTGTGCGTTGTTCGGTAAGAAGGGGGACCGCGGTCATGGCGGCTTTGGACCAGCGCGAGCCGCGGGGCATGCCGGTTTCCGACGAAAAGGCGGCACGTAGCGTGCCGCAGTGGAGGCAGGGCAACTACGAGATCAACTGGTTGGCCGTCGCCGTCCTGGCTGTGCCTCCCGTCACGGTGGCCCGCGGCTGTTTTGGCGGGTGTGCCTCTGGTGACGAAGACCCTCG